TCACTTCATTCTTCTTCTTCTATCCAGCTTGCTGTACCTTCCTTCCGCCTCAGCACCATGGGAAGCAGAGCTTTCAGCTGCTCTGCTCCCAAGCTGTGGAGCTCTCTGCCCCCAGAAATAAGAAACATTGGTTTTCTCCCACAGTTTAAATCCCAACTCAAAACCCATCTGTTCAAATCTGCATATTCACTGTGAATCCACTGTTTGTTAATTTTATCTTGTGCTTTTATTTTATTGTTCTTATTCTGCCATTGTTTTACTAAGTGTTTTATCCTATTGTAAAGTGTCCTTGGGTGACTTGAAAGGCGCTCATAAATAAAATTTATTATTATTATTTATTATTCCTGCTACCATTCGTGCCTCTGACTCTATTCAATCCTTTAAAGCACGCTTGAAAACTTACCTATTCAACCTTGCTTTTCCGACTCACTAATTCTCACCACTCAGTAACTGCTGTATCTGTAAAAACTCAAAATCTTAGCAAGTATATTTGTCTTATTTCTAGTCAAAATGATGTCATTACACTTAAAATAAGACAAAATCAGCTACAAAGTAACGTTCCAGTAAGATTTAGGAACTTGTGTCATTGGCAGATTTTTTTACTTATTTCAAGGTAAAATATCTATAAGTGAAAAAAATCTGCCAATGAAACAAGTTCCTAAATCTTACTGGAACGTTACTTTGTAGCTGATTTTGTCTTATTTTAAGTGTAATGACATCATTTTGACTAGAAATAAGACAAATATACTTGCTAAGATTTTGAGTTTTTGCAGTGAATATACTCATTTCTCTGGATAATCATGATTTACTTTGTTTTAATGACTCACTGTAATCATTTACTGTTATTCCTTACTGTGAAGCACTTTGGTGTACCCCCTGGTTTTAAATGTGCTATATAAATAAAATTGTATTGTATTTATATGGATTTCAAATATATGGTAAATTTTAACTTTTTTTATTCACACTAGAAAAACCAAATAGAAAAAATGAGACATTTCTTTCATTTTTCAGGGATTTAAAGGTCGTCTGGGCCACAAGGGGCAGGATGGCAGTCGTGGAGCCTCGGTAAGACCAACCATGTGCTGTGTTTGGAACAGAAGCTTCCTTTATTAATGTGAATTATTTTTCTTTTTATGTATTTATTGTTATGGGTTTGTTATTCCTACAGAACAAAATGGGTTAAGTGTTCCAGAATCAGATTTGATCCTTTCTTCTTTAGGTTAATAGTTATAATAATAATGGATTGGATTTATATAGTGCTTTTTCGGGGCCCTCAAAGCGCTTTACAGTACCACTATTCATTCACTCTCACATTCACACACTGGTGGAGGCAGCTACAGTTGTAGCCACAGCTGCCCTGGGGCAGACTGACAGAAGCGAGGCTGCCATATTGTGCCATCAGCCCCTCTGGCCATCACCAGTAGGCGGTAGGTGAAGTGTCTTGCCCAAGGACACAACGACCAGGACTGTCCGAGCCGGGGCTCGAACCGGCAACCTTCCGATTACAAGACGAACACCCAACTCTTGAGCCACGATCGCCCCCAATACAATAGTCAATAGTTAACGGATTGACTATTGTAATTCACTTCTTTTTGGTCTTACTCAAAAATCCATCCACAACCTCCAACGCGTCCAGAACTCTGCTGCCCGTATCATCTCCAGGACCCTTCTGTCCACCACATCACTCCTGTCCTGCAGCAGCTTCATTGGCTCCTGGGCAAATATTGCATCAATTTCAAAATACTCTTGTACACATTTAGAGCTATTCATCATCTCTCTCCTCCATATCTCTCTGATCTGGTTGAGATCACCGCCCCATCTCGTTGTCTCAGATCTTCTTCTTCCCTTTCACTCTCTGTCCCTTCCCCCCGTCTTGCAACCACGGGGAGCCGGGCTTTCAGCTGCTCTGCTCCACGACTCTGGAATTCCCGACCTCCTGATTTAAGAAACATCTCTTCCTTCTCACTCTTTAAGTCCAAACTCAAAACCCACTTGTACAAAACAGCTTATCCCACATAACCTCTCCACTCTGCTGTTTTATTTGTTTATGTATTATGCTTTTATGTTGCTTTTATTCTACTGTGTACAGCGACCTTGAGTGTTTTGAAAGGCGCTTTCAAATAAAATGTATTATTATTATTATTATTATTATCATTTAATCTGTCAGAAATGATACTTGAGCAGTAACAGTAACAGATATTTGATGAACTAATATGATCTTTGCCTCAGGGACCTGTTGGTGCAAATGGAGTGAATGGAGAAGTCGGACCTCCAGGACCTAAAGTGAGCTCGTCCTGTTATATGACAGCTGCATTTGCTTATCCTGGAGTGGGACAAGATATTATCTCATGTTCTCATTTCCACAGGGAATGCCTGGAAAAACAGGACCTCCTGGATTCCAAGGCCCTGTAGGAAAGAGCGTAAGGCGATTTTTAAATTCTTGCTTCATGAAACATGGTTAGTATTTTTGGAGACTATGGGAGTCATTTATTTATTAAGATGAGGATCTAAAGTCCTGTGATCACTCAGCATAGTGAATTATGTAACGTTAGGATCATAGTGTTGTGTCATTCGACTTCCAGGGAGAATCTGGCAGCAGAGGAATGAAGGGGACGTCGGGACAGCCAGGAAGGAGAGTATGTTACTGTGCAGCTGTATGGAGAGCACTCCTGTGTTTGTTGGAAGAAAATAATGAAGCCTTGAAAATTCAACCCAAACAATGATATATGAATGTAGACTTTCTGGAATTTGTGGTAGTTTCTTTATAGCCAGACAAAAAAATCCTGATGTTTCCTTTAGGGGGTTGTAGGTAAACAAGGCCCCAGCGGACTAACAGGAAGTAAAGGATTTAAGGTAAGTAGCAGGTTTATCAGTCACTCAGTTATTTAGCTGCTCATATGCTAAGATAACGTTTGTGCTGTGAAGGGTACAAGAGGAGAGGAGGGAGCGAAAGGAATACAAGGCACCCGAGTAAGTGAATTAGTCCCTTTTATTTTCTACTATCGCCTGTTCGTTGTTTATAAGTGTTTCTCTAACTTCTTACTAAAGTCAAGTTCTTGTCATTCTCCAGGGAGAGATGGGCCTGCCTGGACCACAGGGATACAGAGGCCCTCCTGTAAGATCCTTTTAATTATTTGTCCATACAAAACGTTCATCCAGTCCTTTGTTTACACATTGTTTTGGTCAACTTGTGCTTTTGATTTTATTGTGGTCAATGTCTTGATATGTGAGAATACTGTGGCCCAGGAGGTCAGACGCACTGATTGGTCAGTGGTTTGAGTTTCTACACGTCAGCATTGGTTTGTGAGTTAATTACAGAATTAGATGAAGGCAGGTGTGTGGAAAAGAAAGTTTTTCATTGGACTCTGTGCAGTCCTGTGATAACGTGCCACCTTTAGCAGTAGTAACTTGAAGTTATAGTTTTCTGTATAATTTTCAGTTTCTCGTGTCGTGGAGGAATTTTGTCCAACTTCTCTTGAACTTTATTTTAAGGTTGCTTCAATTCATTGAGGTTTGGTACCATTTGTGTCATGGTCTGTGCAGGGAGGCAGGAAAGGACCCAAAATGCAGACTCAACGCAGAAGCAGAACTTGAACTCAAGATGGCAGCTTTATTGCTGGACACGAGAGAAAACTAAACTTGAATATACAAAAATAACTTGGCAGACAGAACACAGACATGTGTGATTGGGACAAAGAGAAACACGGGGGTTAAATACACTGAGGGATAATGAGGGGGATGAGAGACACAGCGGGGAGAAATCAGACTTAACGAGACAGGGGAAGCAAAACTAGGCACACTGACATGAGACACAGACTTTCAAAGTAAAACAGGAAACATGACAGGCACAGACTTGACACAAGAACAAAAACTAAACTCTTAACCAGAATATAACTGAAACAGGATAATAATATTCGAAACAGCACAACTAGAGAATCAGAACAAACCTTAATACCAAAACACAAGAAACGGAAAATGCTGGTTAAAAATGACCCAGAACCGTGACGGTTTGTTCATGGACAGCTCTCTAATGGTCCCACCATAGCACCACAGTTCTTATTGTGTGATTATTGTCCTGTTACAGGACCCAGTGTTGGCCAAGCTTTCGACAGATGACCTCACATTTGACTCTAGAAATTTTTTTTGTGTATAGAGGAGTTAATGATTCAAAGACTGCAACAAGATAAGCCCAAGTCATCATCATTCCAGCCCCATGCCCGACATTGTTTATGCGCGTTTTGTGCTGATATGATCTGGTTGGTTTTGTGGTGCGGTGCATAATGGCCAAACATCATCTGGTCATTGTTCTAAAATGCTTATTGTTTGTCCTGATGCAGCTTTGCAAAACAACTCTTCCAAATAAGCCACACTTGTTTAGTGATTTTCTAATTTGACTGTTATTAACTTTAATATTCAACATGCTAACTGAGTCTAATATGTAGTACTTGCAATTTGTTTCTATTGCATTCAAAAAAATCAAAAATTTATGGCATTAATTTGTTAGCACACACCTGAATGCTCCAGACCAACATCTGCTTCTACAGAGATGGTCACACTTGATTAATCAAGTGCATTTGATGAGCAGTAGCTTGCTGCTACTTCACTCTTAAACTCTGTGGAAGCTCCGAGCGTGGGCTTTGTTTGTCACATGACTGCAGCCGTGTGTGTTTTCTACACACAGCATGTGAACGTCTTTGAGTATTTAACTAACAGACTTCAATTAGATTGTATAAAACCAAGAAACATTTTTAGTCTATGGATTTCTCACTTTTTTTTGTTTTTTAAACATACTTTAATCCAACAGGGTATCCATGGCAACATTGGACCATGGGGTGAAGTTGGGTCCCGTGGTCTTCCAGGCGGTCAAGGTCCACAAGGCCCAGTTGGTCCTCCTGGAGTTACAGGTTACTCTGTAAGGTTTTTTTTTGTTTTTTTGCTTTTGTTTTCAAGTATAATTAGAAGTTTGGGAGCCTAATTGTTTGATTTCACACACAAACTGAAGCTCTGTCAGTCTGTCCAACATAACTGTCAAGTAGGGCTGCCACGATTAGTCGACTAGTCACGATTACGTCG